TAACGATGTAACCCCTTATAAAATTTTGAAAAATTTGAAATTTTAATTTTCTGCCGGAGATGGCTAGATCAACTCGGCGCTTCATGCTGATCAAGAATATATATTTTTATAGGGTCAGAAATGACTCCTTGACATTATTTCAAGCTTCTGACTAAAATTTTAGAATAAAATAGAAAATTACGTATACGCACTGTAGTACAATGTTTTAGATCATAACTAAGCCAAAAATAATTTGATTTCAAATTGGAAAACGGTTATATGTCAGTATTTATAATATTAATAAATCTGCATACTTGTAAACTTTTAAAAATTTCATGTAACCCTTATCATTTTTTGAAAAATTGGAAAACAAATTTGAAAATTTTTTGTTGGCACCGGACATAGCTAGATAGACTCGCCTTTTGATGCTGATTAATAATATATATGATTTATAGGGTCGGAAATGACTCCTTTACAGCGTCAAAAGCTTTCATTTAATACAAAACAAAAAATAACATTTTACAAATCGAAAGAAAGCATCAACAAAAGTTTACCATTAAAAGGAGTAGGTTGAATTCTAGTTAATTTATTTAATCTTTGTCATTTAATTGAATAAAAATATATTACATTATGTTATATATTTAAAATACATAGTTTTTAAAAATCAGAAACGCTTAGAGGTAAAAAATACATAAAATTGTACTAATGTAATAAAGCTCAGAAACAAATTTTTTGCCAAGTATTTAAAAGGTTATTAACTTTAATGTATTAGCAAATGCTTAATGCCTATTCCGCCCCATCTGTTTTTGTATCGAGATATCATCTACCCTGCTTGAAATATTTCTCGAATGGTATTCCCGAAAAATTCTGCACAAGCAATTGGTACACATAGAATGAAAATGTTTTAAAAACGGCAACCGTGACCAAAATACATACATATTCTATAGATAACTCTCGTCTAAATGCATTGGAACCCATCCAAATTGTCGATATAAAAATATCCATCGTCGGCTCCCCAATCCCCATTCCCAATCCCCAAGCCGCAATCCTCGATGGCCGATCGTCGGTCAACGTCGTACACTCGGCGTCCCCTGCATTGGATCTCATCGGGTGCACCGATCCGAGGCGAAGTGAGGCGTCTTCCCATGCCCACACCCAATAGCCCGGCGATCTCTCTGGCAGGGAAGGAATACACATAGCAGGAGGAGCGGGCAACGGAAGAGGTTGCTCTGCCAGGTAGCACATGTGCCCATGCGCCGCTCCTCTGGGGGCTGTGTGTAATGCCTGGCATGACAAATGAATGAATACTTCCTGCATTACGTGTGGGTTATGTAATGGTGGGTCTGGCTATCCTACAGAATATCTGGTAATTGCAAATCTCGGAAATTCTTTTCAGAGTGGAACGATGGAAGGGATGCCTGACATTTTGCACTTGCAACTGTCAATCCTTGAGGCCAAATACTAGCACCACGAATATAGTCATGGATCCGCAATGGGATTCTTAGCTATAAGAAAATGATGGATCATTTGCGTGGAAGGTGTGTGGAAAAAACTTGGAACTAAATTATCAATGTTGAATAATCTTAAAACCATTTCCTTTTTAATATATTTTAAATGCACAATATTTCTGAGCTTCCATTAATAACGAACCTCCTTGAAAATTAATGATTGGCATTAGATGTTAACCTCTTTTATTCAAGCTTTAAAATCAAGCTTTAAAATTAAACAAATTTGTTAATAATATAACTGAAGTAAATTAAATTTACTCTCATTAAAATTAAAATTAAAGTTAAGAGATTGCTCTGCACATTTATCCAGTTTAATTTTTTTTTTGTCATATTTATAAGTATTTATCCAAGAAACTTAAGTAACATTTGAATAAAACAATTGAATAACATTCTCAATTAAATATAATTAAAAAAACGCAATTATTAGCTTACAAAAATTTTATTTAAATAACAAGAATCGTTAACTGAATGATATCATTTTTGAAATTACCTTTTCCATTAGGCCAAGCATGTTTTGGAAGCGAAAATCGTTTCCTATCTATTCGTGGGTCTAAACAAAATGCTTTATTTAATAAATAAACATTTTGTTTAGAGCCCCGTGTTTTTGCAATCTTAAATAGTATTTGTGAACAAAAAGGAATACGTTTTCCAGCCCTCGGCTGGGTGTTGATGATGGACCCGTGTGGTCTGAAATGATTAATTGCCTTGGCTCAATTGAAAACCGCACACGCATAATGCAAATCCAATCTGTGGCGGATGGCTATATGAGTGAACTCATGGTATCTATTGGTAGATGCCATCTATCGTTTATTAATTAGGCAATCAAATCGAATCATTTAGTATTAGTCACTGATGTGTGGAGCATTAAAAATTATTTCTGTAGGCATTTGTCACCCAATTAAACCGACTGCAGCCAAGTACCCCCGGCAGTCATCCAAAGAATCGACTATATAGCCGCACATATGTAGAACTCAACTGCAGCGAATTGCAATAATCGAAGTCTATATAGCGTCGAGACTTTTATTAATGATGAGTGAAAATGGGAAATGAGAATATTTTCCAATTTTCCCAAAGCACAAGAAGGTGCAAAAACAGCAATGTGTATATGTGCTCTGATTAATCATGTACAGCCACATAGGCAGCATGGAAATGAGTCAGTACCGAGCCGAATGTAAAAGTATTTTTCGATTTTTGTTTTTAGAAATTTATGAGCGACAAGCAAAATGTATTTTTAAAACATATTTCATACTCCACACAAAAAATCGAAGGAACATCGCATACATATTCTAACGATTATATACAAATATATATATGTGACTGGAAATGTTGTAAATAAAATTTGTTTATGATTTACATATTTTTTAAAGTTGAGAGTTTTTAAAAGTTAGCACAGCAGTCATAGGAATACCTAGAATATTAAAATGTCAGGTAGAGTTCCTCAAGCTTTAACACATATCTGGTGTAGGTACTAATACTAGTTCTGTATACGACGGATTTTCTCTATATACCTTGCTAGCAGCTACCTACTGAATCTAAAAAACATTTCATATGCGTTTAATATAGCCGCCGCTGTGATCTAAATTTAAAACAAAAGCTATTTAGTTGCGAAGAAGTTCAACACAAGCAAACGGTCTATACTCGATCGATGTGTGTGTGTATTTGAGAGTATCTGAGATTTACTAGATACACAGATACGAGCGAATACTGGGTGACTGCGTCCTGGGCACTAGATTATACGAATACGCATACGCCGTGTGGTACGCGGACCGACAAGTCCGTCAACATATCTCACAGATACAACAGCATCGCAGCCGATTGTATCTGTATCTCTCTACACTAAACTCTACATCGATTAAGCTTATAAGTTTAAAAGTTAAATTAAATATAAGAATATCATATGATATATATTAAGAATTAGTTTCTCGTAAATGCAAGAAACAAGCACGATTGAAAATGAGCTCACATGTTCCTTAACTTCTAAAGTTCAACAGAAACATTTTCAAACATTTTACATAATTTTTCTTTCTGTGTATCTGTTGCTTTTCCTTCTTTTTCCTCTTGCCCGTGCTCGTCAGCACGTCCATGTCCAAGTTGTGTTGGTGTTTTCATCTCATGAAATGTTTCAATTTGTCTATTTTTAGTGGCAAGTTTCTTTTTGTTTATTAGTTCTTCGCTTTTTTGTTGTTGTTTTTGCTGTTTTGCTCTCTTTCAGCTTTGACTTTCCCAGCATATAGTGGCAAGTATATAGTGTATCTTGGATATATAGGCGATGTTTTCTGCTGCTCTGATTTAACGTCACAACTAAGGAATGTCTCTCGGGCTATTCTTCTGCTCGAAACAGCCTGGATCAGCCACGCATTGTTTGGCCCGTCTTTCATATGTTTTTGTGGCCGAAAAGCTTTAGCCATATATCTCGTTATGTTTATACAGTTTCACTGTACATTATGTGGTACATAATACGCTAATGGCTGCGTATTTGCTAGGTGTTTGCATCGATTTAGACGTAAGGTCAAACTATGTCCGTGCGAGGTGCCTTTCTGCTGATAGCTAAGGTATCGTCAAATGGGTTTATATATATAAGAAATTTTATATTTTTAATAAAGTTAATTAATTTTCTGAGAAGATGTCAGATCTTGGATATTTACTGGTTTATTATGAAGTTTGTTATTGAGCTACTTGGTTAATTTCAATCATATAAATGCTAGTTTCTGCAAATAATATTTAAATTTAATCATTTTCTAATTAATAACTAATTACGGGGGTTTCCAAACCATTTTCTAAGTGGATTAATTAGTTTGCATTTGAAGCAGGTTGTTTATACAATCTGTTAAGCTTCCTTCACTGAATTTCATTAATTCAATTCTAACTTCGGAATTATTAGTGCACTTTGTCGCTGTATTATTATTATAGTTAAATTTCTGACCGTAGAGATAGATTTATTTGTTATAAGTACTAATAATACAACATAATTTTTTAGAAAACGGAACTTAACATATATAAATAATACTCCACTGTAGTTATCCCTTTGAACAGAGTTAAATAACCGATACGATTGAACCCCATAAAGAATGCCTCAAGATTGTGTCTGCACATGCAGCCGACAGACTGGCAGGCAGTGAGTAAACAAATATATAACCATAAATTGGTTACCATGGCGCTGATTTTAGCTGCAGATACAGATACTACAGATACACCGTATCTATCTGCACCAGGCATAAACAATTATAAACAACATGTTTTGGTAATGTTACGCTTAGATTCGCTCTACTACAGTGTTTTGCAAACAATGGATGGACATAAACATGGCCCAGCACATGGCTCGATGGAGGAGATACTGATACAACTTTATCTGGTGGCTACACTCTCCACTCCATGGGGTGTAAATCAATATTAGGCTTATCTTGACCAACTGTGAGAATTTTGCAGGCTGCGATCCCCAAAAGATACTGCTAGCATAGCCATGACAGAAACACGGATTCGGCTACCTCACTCGAGTTTCACTTTCCACACGCCATGGGTTACTGGTCGGAAACGCGAGCGTGGCTCTTTCGTGATCCTGCCAAGCTCATCCGCTACCTGGTGCTATTCGTCTGCTGCATTGTGGTCATTGTGCAGCTCTACGAGTGTTTCTATAAGCTCCATGACCCACCCATATCCACGCACTCTTACTATAACTGAATGAGACCATTGAGATGCCAGCGGTTACCATATGCAGGGAGCCGCCCTACAGGGAAGAGGTGTTAACTGTGAGTGAAGGAAAAGGATTATTACTATATCAAATATTCATAAGATTTAAGGGGAAAACATATAAATATATTGGTATAATAATATATATTTCTAGTCCATCTCCGGCGGTTACTGTCCTCATCCAAAATATGCCACCTGCTGGATGAACTATCCATTTGGAGAGGTTTCCCTGGATGAATTCTTTGAAAATGGCACTCATGACATGTCCGACACTTTCATTATGTACGGACTCAATGGCAATGCAAATAGTAGGAAATTATATATATGTCTTTGTCATATTATAACACATATTAATCTGATTTAGATTTGGATATGAATAACAGCTTGCACTTCTATATGGGTCGATGCTATACCCTTCGGCCCAAGGAGCCCACCAAGAGGGTATCTAAGGCAGTGGGTTACTCTCTACTTCTAGAGCATTCCAGAGTCACTACTTCCGTCAGTGATGTGGATACAGGCAGCGCAGGATGGCATGTTTTCATGCACGACAAGAAAGAGGACTTTACAGGTGAATTTGATTTGATTCTCTATTAAATTTAATTTAATTAAAAGAAATATTTTCCCTCAAGAAATCAATATGAAGGGTTCCGGACGAGTGGAGTATGTGTTTGTTAGTGTAAACGAGGAAATTGAGATTAAACTGCAATCCCAGTATTTCTCCAATATACAGACCCGAGGTGAAGCCTGTTCCAGTGATGAGGGTTACAGTGATTTGAAGGTATACCCTATAACTATATTCCCAAATTAATTAATATATTAGTAACATTTTAGTGCGGCGAGCATTGCATTTGGAAAGATTTGGCCGATAATATGCAGTGTTCGGGACCCTGGATGCATGAAATTGAGACAGAACCCTGTAATGATACCCTCTCCATGAGGCAATTAATATCGGATTATAAAGAGTATGGTTACATTTACATCAAGAGCTTCTCTATTTATAAAATTTTGTGATTTTTAGGGTGTATGAGAATGAGGACGACTTTGACTGTGATTGCATTCAGCCCTGTCAGTCGAGGATCTACACCACCTTCATTCAGAATCGAAAGGCCTTCAACCAGCCAGAGCCGCGCACCCTAATCTATATATACTACACAACCAAGCTGATATCGGTAGGGAATCTAACACATAATGATGCATCGAACATTGATTGAACTCATTTCCCTTTTTTACTTCCCTTGCCAGATGATCGAAGAGCGTCCCAGCTATGACACCACCCAGTTTATAGCGGATGTGGGTGGTTCCCTGGGATTTCTGCTTGGTTTATCCGTCTTGGGGTTAATTGGCATACTAGAACATGTATGTATGATAGTGAAATCTTTAATATTCTTTATAATATTAATATATATATTACCATTTCAGCTGACTCTTTTCTTCTGTGGCGGTTTTATTAAGAAGATGCAGCAAAAAGAGCAGGAATCAAAGGCCAAAAGCTGCGAGGATGGTCAGTCCCAGACCAGTGATGAGACCATCGATATAGCCATTGCTTATAAAAAGCCAAGGAAGAAAGATAGATATTAAGGCAAAATAAAAACCAAGCTGGCTTGGTCTTTATAATTTCAATAAGGGTTATCAAGAAAACTAATCAAATTCACTTCTTAAATTTAATCAACATTACATACAGCGTTACAATTTCCTTAGCCTATAACTTATTACAATACAACTGCACTCAAATAAATGTATTTTGTATGTTTTAGAAAGATTTACATTAATGTAACTTCCAAAAATTAAAATATTTCTTTATAAAACTTGTAACAATATTCAAATACTTTTATTCTTTGCTTAAAAGGCTTTTTCATACTCATGAAACTGTGAAAATATTTGAGTGAGTATTACTATACTTAAATCTAAATTCTTAAGCTCATCAGCAAACTAAGACCAATGAACAGCAGAGAGCTCACTTGCGTAAGAGAAGCACCTGAAGTGGTCTTCAAATTAATGTTGGTATTGAGAATGTCACCAAACTTGTTAATTATATCCGGCAAGGGAGAGGTTCTAATCTCGCAGGCGGTGTTCTCGATGGCGTCCTTGACACTGGCAGTTAAAATTCGGAAATTAATCGAGCCGGCGTAAAGCTCGTCATAGATAAACACTGGCAGCTGATTGGATAAAACCCACAGGCGTTTCTGGTCATCCACCTTGATGTCACTGGGAAAGACCAGAGTCTCGTTGCTCATGTAGATGCGGCTCTGGGAGCTGTGGGTGAAATCGGTGGCTGTGCGCCAACAGGCCACTTCATTGAGATTGGGCAGAGTGTAGAAGAGGACACCCGTCTCCGGGTCCAAGAACTCAGCGCCAGCTTGGGTATTAATGCCCCTGGATCCCAGAACCTTAAACTCCCGATAAATCTCAGGTGAGGTGGCCAGGGTTTTGTTTCTCAGTATTCCCGTATCCACAGCAAACTCCATGTTCGAGCAAAGTGGGTGGAAGTACAGCGTGGAGTAGCCCGATTCCAAGGGCTTCGACAGGGTCAGACCATAGAGACCATCATCCCACTGGAAGTCAATGCCATTGATGCTAAAGTTACCGGCCATCGGATCCGGATGGAAGTAATGATGCTGAACTCGCCACGACTCCTGGTCCTTCCATGAGTACACCACCAGGCCAGGATTACCCAGATCCGCAGCGTAGGCGTAGCTATTCTCGCAGTCAGAATCCTCCACCGCCAGATTGGCGAATAGAGAGGCCTGCTTCACCTGATCAGCGGGTAGAACATGTCGTCTGAGCAGATCGTCATTGTGCAGATCGTAGACCAGCAGCTGAGGTGCTCCATAGATTTTGGTCTTGTCCAGGACCCCAGAGATGCGAGAATCCAGAACCCAGAGTCGACCACAACGATCGGCTTTCACACGGAAAGGGGAGACCAACTCCGGCTCGGCTTCCAACTGACTATGAGCCTGCCAGCTGGGGAAGGGCTTCAGAGCGGGCATCTTGCTGGAAGTGTCTGTAAAAAGGAAAGAGTAGGTTTTTATTTAAAAAGTAAATTATATTTTTTAATAATTATTGATGAGGGAATTTTTTAAATTCCCATTACCTTTTATTGATAAAGTAAGTCCCAATATACATATAACCTCTCAAATATATATAAGACAAAATAAAATGAAATCCGGTTCAGAAACACCTCTATTGTTTAGGAAGTTTAGTGACCTCGCATTCAACACTCATTTTATTTGTTTAAATTGTATTTTACTTTTGGTCATTTGCATTGCTTTTCGTTTTAAATGACGCTAATTGGAGTCTTGACAATATTTGGCTGTTCATTGGAAGGCGGCTTCTGATGAGTAATCGTCAATTTGTTTACCTGAGTGCACTGGAGCTTTGTATTTACACCTAACTATACTGATTAACTTGCTAATGCTTTGGGATTGAGTTGTGGTTAGGACAGCTTCCCACATGTCACGGTAAAAGGTAAAACAACTGTATTAATAGCACCTGGATCTTATACAAGAATGGTAATCTTCAATTATTTATTACTTTTATACCCTAGCAAGGTATTTTAGTCAGAAGTTTGTAATTATGTCAAGGAGTCATTTCCGACCCTATAAATCATATATATTCTTGATCAGCACGAAGAGCTGAGTCGATCTAGCCATGTCCTGTGAAAAAAAATTTTCGAAAAATTTCAACAATTTTATAACGGGTCACATCGTTAAAATTGTCAAAATTTTAAAAATTATTTTAATTTTTTATTTTTTAAATTGAGTGTGCAGATTTATTAACCTAATAAAAACTAGCACATAACCGTTTTCCGAATTGAAATCAATGCATTTTTGGCTTAGTTATGACCAAATACAATTTACACCACTGCGTATACATAATTTTTAGTCCTTATAAATATTTGAAAGAAAAATTCTTAGATTTGTTATTAAGTATGCAGATTTATAAACCTAATAAAAACCAACACATAACTGTTTGCTAATTTAAAATCAATGTATTTTTGGCTAAGTTTTGATTAAATACTTTTTACACCAGTGCGTATATGTAATTTTTTTGACGGTTTAAGAAATCTATTTTTTATACCCTTTCAAGGTTTATATTATAAACTTTATAATTTTAGTCAGAAGGTTGTAATTATGGCCAGGAATCATTTCTGACTTTATAAATCATTTATATTCTTGATCAGCATGAAGAGCCGAGTCGATTAAGCCATCTCCGGCAGAAAAATAAAATTTCAAATTTTGTTTTAAATTTTATAAGGGGTTACATCGTTAAAATGTCAAAAATGTACAACAAAAATTACATTTTTTTAATGTTTTAAATGCAGTATGCAGATTTATTAACTAAATAAAAACTAACATAGGAAGGGTTTCCGAATTGAAATTAAGGAGTTTTTGGCTGAGTTATAAGTTTTTATTTTAAACTTTGATTTGTCGAAAACATTGTCATATAAGAATATCAAAAAATATCTATTCTACGCATTTGAATACTTTAAACTTAGGTTTGAAAGATTTTCGATACGATCTAATAGGAAAGGAACTAATAGGTTCATTTAAAACTGAATGGATATATAAACTTTGCCTCTCCGAAGTAGAAGAAGAAGAAGAAGTAAACTCTCTATAAAGCTTTCATTCATTTCATAATAAATAAAATATGAATGTCTGTAATGAATTTAAAGATAAATTAAAGTTATATATATAAATATCTTTAATTCATATATATCTTTAATTCATTCAAACGGATAAATAGAGCGGTTGCCCATAAATACTCAGCTTTATGGACTGAACTCAATGGCGTTTAATTCAGTCTGTGCACTTGCTATGACCAAATGTGAGTGTTTATTGTGCACTTTACAGCCTCCACGCCGAAAGGCAACGCTCTTGGATTATATAGACGATGTGCGGCTGTTCTCAGGCATCAGGCAGACAGTTAATGACGGCAGCCAGCAGAATTACTATGCTAATTGCTCCAAGTGCGAAAGGAAACGGAATTGTTTGGATGGTCAAGTTGATCAGACAATTCCGAGACCAGACGCCACGAAAACAATACCCAAGCTATGAGATCTGAGATTTGAGATTCGAGATCCCAGATCAGTTCTTGGCACACTTAGCACATAGTGCAACCGCTTGGGGTAATTATATACATAGTTGTGTTGTGGCAGCTGCAACCGTGCAACTCATGCACTCACCATTAAGATCAAGGTATCCCAGCGAGGCCGGCACTCCGGCCCGCCATCTCGGCAGGGTGACAAAGAGTCGATGACCGGCCACCTCCAGGCCAAAGGGTATCACATTGGCCGGCTTGAACTCGCCGCGTTCGATGGCTGACCACCTCTGATCCGGACTGGCGTATTTGAAGTCCATCTCTCGCCACTCGTAGGCCACGCGGAGATTATCGTTTCCTTGGGCAGCCACCGCCCACAGGAGGAGCAGTCCCACTAGACTGGCGTGGAACATGGCTCTAATCAATTAGCTGCAAGGAAAAAAAAATAGACAAAGATCAATTAAAATTAGCTGCTGGCCCACTCAGTTAAGCTTCCGTTAAGCCGCAACGGCCTTGTCCAAGCCATAAACTTAAGCAAATTAGGCGACACTCAAAGAAATCAAATATCAGTTGAATAAATGTAAGAAAGAAACTATAAATGAATGAATGGAATATATTATATATGTACTCTCAAAATTATTATTATCGATTAAGATATCTTGACGTCAAAATAGGTTTATATATATTTCTTCCTACAATTCTGTCAATATTCTACATATTTTGCCATTTGTTTTCCTGTATGGGCCGAGTTAATAGTCTCTAAATCTTGTCACTTGGTCCAGCCCCCGCCGCTTTACTCTTGGCCACTTTGTTCTCAACCGCATGACTCATACACTATGTCTTTGGTTCACTCGGCTATTTTGAAAGTTGTCTTTGGTATATGTTTCGAGCCGGCCAGGTTCTGGTTAAGTTGCCAAACCACAAACATTTTTATTTTTGTTTTTGGGTTTCTGCTTAAAAGCGAGTCTTGTGGTGTGTACATTATCTAACCAGCAAGATCGGAATATGTTCACAAAAGCATGGCAATTCCTGCGGGAATTTTTGATGGGCTTTCAGGGGACTGAATGTGAATAATAAATATTTAGCAAACCTTTCTCCCTCTTCACTGCCGTTCAAGATGTCTTGCACCTCACTCAATCTTTTATTTTTAGAGTATCGTCGTAACATCATGGTATCTTCGAGCCTCAAACACTCGACCTCTTCAGCCGAATTCAAGTCGAGTCTCGTCATTCAGGCATTAGCATTTCGATGAGCACTTTGTCTGACCGCCATTCTCTTTGATTGTTCCATCTAGTAAACTTTATTTATGATCTGGGCATAGCTCAAAATTCGGTTAAATTTTCAGAAGTGAGTCAGCTTAAAAAAACCTTTCTTTAATTATGGCTTTCCAGTTTTGAGTGTGGGCGTGTCTGGGATACAGATTTTGTTAGATTATTAATAGCTTTGGATTGGTTTTAACTGCACAACGTAATTTGCTTGGGTGTTTTTCCCCCATTTTTCCTATTTTTATTTGCCATTACTTAATGCGTTACATTTTGTTTATTTAGTCTTTTTGTGTACACTTTAGTTTTGTAGCCACCATTTGAGGAGGGGCACTTTTTGGCCAACTCCAGTTATGCAAACCTTGTCACTTGGCTGACTTGAATTCAGGCGAGTTTTTTGAATGGAGTTCAGTCGATCAAAGTTTGTGTCTTGAATCTTTTGTCTGGCCCTGGCTTCGGTTTTTATGGCTAGTGAGTTTGCTTTTTTTATTCGAATTGTAGGACAAATCTGTACCAAATGTCAACCTCTCGAAGTCGGCACTTAACAAAACACACCTTTTCCAAAGATTACGCACAAAAACAGCAAACCGCACAACCGGCAGAGTCGAAGCTTGAAACGAAACTAAAAGTTCGGTGAGCCGAAAGTCAAGTCGAGGCCTGAGATGGCGTGAGTACTGGCTTCATGCTCTCTCCACTTCGCTCTCTTGGAATTCGTCTGAACTTGAATTAGTCAGGCCGTTAAGACGCTTTAGCACATTGAAAGTGATATATAAAGTAGTTTTTGGCACGCTCCCTGGACTAACCCACAATATATGTATATGTATTGTAATATGCAAAGCTCCCACACGCCGGCTGGGAACGTTAATCCACCCATTAATATCTCCAGCTGTGGCCATGCGATTGACAAGCCCCTGAATGTACTCCCACATCGGGGAGGAGGCCTACTGACCCATAAATATTAAAAGATAATAGACAAGCCCGCTGGCTAGAAGTAATTTCCAACGTTTATTTATGTAATTTAATCAATATTCAAAATTTAAATTGTATTCATTTGCCGGTAATTATCACGGGAGTAACCTCTGGAAAGTTCCCAGTTGAATCCATGAATGAATCTGCTTCTGAATGTCTCACTGTCTGAATCGAGAGATGGGGGTATAACCCCATTAGTCATCACAGAGTTGTGTGGGATTTCCACTTCACTTATAAGAAAGTTATATAAATAAAATATAAAATAAATAATGTACCGGCTTCAAACCAAATCCACCCAAGAAAACATTGCTTATCTTATTCAGTTTTATATTTATTAAAATGTCAATAAATTAATTCCAAAAGAATAGAGAACAATCCAAACATTAAACTAGAAGTATTATCATTATGCATTTTTCTTTGTGTAATAGTTGTTGCCTTTTTTTAGTTTAAAAATTTAAACAATTGCTTATTTTATCTGATGTTTTGTATACTTTTTTTATATTTTTGCGTCTTGGTAAAAAACATTTTCCGTACAAGAATGCTAAATATAGTTGATTTTTTGTTTGTTTTCTCCTGGAGTTTGCTTTCCATTTACATTACAACATTATTAATGATTTAACATAGAAAGTTGTTTTCTTTTTTTTTTTGATTTTATGCATTTGCACTAAATATAGAATAGGCATTAGCTAAGTATTTTGTGTGATTATATTATTGGTTAAACGAACAGAAATATGGACAAGGGGAAAACAATTTGCTGAATTCCATAAGCTTTAGTTAATAGTAAATGCAACAAAAATAGTTTAAAGCTTATGACAAATATATATAAACAAGTTAAATATATATTTATATTTATCCAAGGATTAATTAATACAAAAAAAAAAAGGAAAAAATTAAACTTTGGTCGAAAGCTTTAAAGATCTTTGGCAAATCAAATTCTTATATAGTTTTTGCAATTAGTTTGAAAATGTTTCGATCTTGAAATACTTTCCCAACAAAGTAGTTGCAACTATCAAAGCATTATTAATTAATATCGTAATCATAATGTGTGTATATTGAAAGGTAGATTAAATCAACACTAAACGAAATGATTAAACAAACTCATTTTTATCGCAAGTCTCATTCGAATCCATCATATTCGGATGCTCTGAGAAATGGTGTCGATGTGGTTGGTGAACTGCCTCCGGATTGTGTGGATTGTACAAGACGCGTTGCGTATGTTATGCGATTCGTCTGATATCGGAAGTTATATAGTAGTCATAGTGGTGTTATGCTTGTGAAAATAACGATTGGTGTTGTGGTGGTCGCAAGACAAGGACCGAAGAGTCCAACAGCTAAATCGATAGCTGTGATGTGCCCTCGCCTCAGAGTTACAATATACTGGACTATGGGAGTCCATATATATTTCCTGACTAGACTCCGGCACATCGCCTGCGTCCGGTTCGAACTTTTACTTGTGGTCGGAAAGGCATACTCTTCACTCAGGGCATGCAAAATATATAATAATCCAAAGATAGACATGTACCATAGTTATAGTTACAGATATAGATAGAAAGGGGGAGGAGCAGGTCGGACGCAGGGGACTCTTCGCTCAGCAAAATTAATGTGACACGCTTTCGACTGGACCCAGCAGACAGTACGCTCTGGGAACGGTTTTGTGGTTTTCTGAGGGTTTAGTAAGCTTACAGTGACTGCAAATTATCCAGCTACTCGCGCGTCGCCCAGCGCAATGACAGACAGATTTTGGTGGACTTTATGTTAAATTTGAAATCTTTCTTTTTGTTTCGCAAACACCTAAAGCCCATTGAAATGTTAACTAAACTTGTTACTCTTATTGTACTCTTTTTCAAACGAACGCGTGCATTGCATTGTATCTTACAGCTAAAAGATCGTTTCAAAACATGAAAATGAAATCAAATAATGTGGGATAAATTTTAATCAATGACCACCACCTAAAATGAATACTAAAAGAGTCACTACAGGCACAGAAAATGCAAATCAAACAGTAACTTACTTGTTAAATAGTATATTTTATTAAAGCTTCCAAATGAGATTTACGAATTAAATCATAATAAAAAAATATTTAGTAGAAATAAGAATTTTGATGAGATCTATTAGGAGAGAAGACTTTTCCGACACTTCAACGTATTGTTGAATCGTTTTAAATATATTGAAATATTCACTTAAATACTCTCTGATTTGACTTGCATTTCCATACCACAATCAAAAGATAAGTAACAAGTAAAAGAAAGCAACTCTACGAAATGAAAGGCGTCCATCAAATATTTACATAGTCCCTGCAACGCAATACAGTTGCCGGAGTGAGAGAATAATAGGTATATTCTACAGATATGAGATTATAAAGACTGTGTACAAATGCGAGTTTTTAGTCGGAGAGTGTGTGAACCATATTACGAGTAATGCCACCAAATCTGAGAAAATTGTCTGTCTTGCATTGAGGTACTCTCGTCTGAAGCACGCCGTTCTAACACCGCAGGATTATCGAACCAGACCAAACAAAATTCTGATATGGCCGGCGATATCCCGATGACGGTGCGGCGAATTTGCCAGACCCAAAAGTCCAACATTAATTTTGCGCTAAACTATCCCAAGGAAGTTGGTAATTATTTAGTTTCAATCGCTTCTCCCTGGGTAGTTTTTCACTTGTCATTGCTTATGATTATAAATTACACAGTATAGTTACAGCAATACATGTATTTCTATATAAATATATATAGATAGATAGATGGTTGGGTTACAAGAGTGTAATATATAGGTATACTCAAACAGGGGTGAGTGTGTTAGTTGGGGTTTCATGTGGTGCTCTCCAGGGATCTGGGTGCTGAGTTAAACTAGCCTTGGCAACACTGGGTTGAGAGTATTCTAAGATCTCGGGTATCTGATCCATGCTGCTTCCCGTCAAAAAAAAAACACAACAAAACAATAGGGATATATAGGGCTAGGACTTTTCAACTGCCAATCTACTCTACTTATGCTAGCTAAAACGTTCAAAGAGGTTCAACAAGCCTAAGCCCCTCTATGAAGAGTGGAGGAGTCCACGAGTATTAGTTCATATTTATTTCAAGTTGAAGTTGTGGCTAAGAAGCTAGAGAACTCGGAACATTGGAAGAACGCTACGTTAACAACAGAAAAGCGTTAATTTCAATAACCTGAAAATATGTATCGAGTGTAGTTACTATAACACGTGGAGAACTCTTTAACTAGATGCTATTATTCTTATATTTCTATAAACTATATAGCTGTGTTGGGAGGATGGGGATTTTTTGTTTGATTTTTTTTTTTTTTTAGTCGTAGTTTAGTACCAACCATACCATAACCAAATTACTTAGGATATATAGTATTCATATGCATATATAATAATTAAAAAGAAAAACAAATTGATTGTAGATACCTGCTCTGATCTGCTCTCATCATCTAGCGATGACACACACACCGAATTTATATATATTACACACCAAAAGAATAAAAACGATACAAAGAGAGAGAGAGAGACGTTGAATATTCATGTATATGTATATAAGGTATTTGTATATAGTTAGGTATATACTATGAATAGGAAAGATAGGACTTACTTTTTGTCAGCTGACTGAAAGCAACTGAACGAATGAAGGAACGATCTAGACTAGGGATGTATATCGTAAAGAAAATTACGATATAAAATATGAAACACAAGAACCGAATCGTTAAACTATAAATTTATAAAATCGAACTTCGCGGAATAGATATTAATCCAGTAAAGTTAATCCATCCCTAGTCTAGAAAATATGTTGGGGCCTAAACAAAAGTTGCTGGTCGGCTTTGCTTAACATTATAACAGTTTTGTAGAGCATTTCACATGGACAGGAAGAATCGAAGGTATATATGTATAAAAATTACGCACGTATAACAAACACAAGAACGATAACACAAAAATGCTGCTTATGGCAATTGTCAACATACCCAGAGCTTTGAGCGTTCAGGTTTCTGGTTTTGGTTTTTTGGTTTTTGTGTGTGTTTCAAAGAAGTTCTTTTCTGTTCGGTTTTCATTTGCTTTTTTCGGAGGAGATATACATAGAATTAAACAACTTGAGTGTGGGATGTTAAAACATACGCTCGCTAAATAAAACTAAAAACAAAAAAAGAAAGAGATTGTTAAGAAAACAACAATTTGTATAGGGGTTAAGTGTCAACGGTTAGTTTTTGTTGATTATACAGATATATATAGATACAGATAAGGATAGAGATCTACAGCACAGCAAAATAGCTTCAGATGGATAGTATTATAGTACTGTGTGTGTGGGGATAGAGTGTGTTATACAAAGAGCACACGAACAATATATCTAAAGAGATGTTGTTGTTGTTGTGGTTGGTGTTGTTATGCACGCACATCGAGATGGTTGGATTAAGAAAGAAAATTAAACAATTCGATTATTGGGAAACAAAAGCCAGAATGTAGTGCTTTAGATGAACGAAATAAGTATATGACATCGACTGATATACTAGGCATAACCGCAGATTAGTGGGTGGCGTGTGGCGGAGAAGTGTGTGTGTGTGTGTTTGTGTGTTGTGGGTGGAGTGTCTCAAAAACTGTTATACATTGAAAAAGAACTTGGCTTTGGTTGGAACAATTTTTGAAAACAACTTGCTTGCTGAGTGCGTTTTGCTGATTGCTGATGTATAAGCTGTATCCCAGGCTTGCCTCACTCGTGGAAGAGCAGCGGCAGCGGCAGGGCCAACAGCGGAGCAGCTGCTGGCCTGCTGAACGGCTGCGGTTGCTGCGCGTGCTGAGGATGCGTATGCGGATGCGTGTGCGTGTGCGGTTGCAGGTGCGTTGGCGGCTGGGCTGATGGCGCCTGCAACAGAGCCGGCGCTCCAGGCAGACATCATCTGAAGCGCGGCTGCATCACCTGCAGCATATTCGGATGGCCAGGTAGCATAACGCTCATTCCAGGCATCGGCATGGCACCAGCCGGCAGAGCCCCCGGCAATCCTGGTAATCCAATTTGCATGGGCAGTAAACCTAAAGAAAAATATATTATTACTTTGAATACTAAATTGTCCTAGGGATATATATCAAGGGGAACCGTTGATATATCAAACAATATTGCATATAAATTAAATTGTTTTGTACTGGGACTCACCTGCCGGAATACCATTGAATCCTGGTCCACCGGCTCTTAGCATATTTCCTCCGATCAGAGCTCCGTGTGGTCCGATAGCCATAGCCGGTCTGAGCATGGGCTGCATCAGCTGCATGTGACCGGGTAGCGGCATCTGAAGGAGGCGGATCGGACGTGGAGAGAAAGATATAGAAGAGCATGGAAAGGATGGATATCGAGGATTAATACTATGAGGGCTTTTACGTTTGGTCTATATATTGAAGCCATTGTACACAAAATTAGCTAATTTGTTATTAATTATGTTTGTTTGTTGTTTTTTTTTTCATTTAAAATATTAATAAGTTGTTTTTTTTTGCGAACTTATTCAATACATGGATAAGAGGAGTGTGTATGTGTGTGTGTGTTTGGTTTGTTGTTTGTGGAGGAACTTTTTTGCATCGCATTACAAATGTATGATAGATAGAGCAGAGACAAGATATATAGAATAGAATATTGAGTAGAGCAGAGAGAAGAGACTCCTTCATCCTCTTCTAGTCATCATTGGCAAAAACAATATTATTTTATTTTATTTTTTGTTTGTAAATAAATAGTTTGTTGATTTAAAAAGAAAAGTACTTACAATTCGGAAACTGAACTGACGACGACGAGATGGTGTGGAGGGTGTGAGGGGCTTAAGGCTTGTTCAATATCTTATAACAAATTAAACGTATTCGCACTTAATAGAAAGTAATAGTAAACTGATTTACTAACCGGAGGGAGCCCACGGGTCGAGTTCAAATTCCAATATTCTTCAGTTAAAAGTTAGTTTCAAACTTAGCTAAGGGTGAGGTTGGTCAGTGAGAGATGAAGATGAATGAATAAGGCTGGGTTAAGACGAACACAGTATAAGTTTAAGATGCGTAACGTTCATACCTCTGAATTGCCATAAGTAGTATTTAAAAATATAATGCGCCTGTGTGCGCACAGATCTAGAATGCACATATAGTGAAGTATAAGAGAATAGCTTCATAAAAAGCCTGAACTTAGCTTTAAAACCAGTCCGAAAAATGTATGTTTAAAAAAATCGTAAGGCGTAACGCATCTTAAAACTTTGGTTAGAAATAGTGCTATGGCAAGGTAAAAGAGGTTGGAAATGACAACAACCGATAGTCCGCTACCCTGAATAAGCATTTTCATTGCGTATTAAACCAAATGAATTGTTATTAATATGGCATGTGGATGAGACTTTATCGGATGAGATCCGTGTAAAAAAGGGGGACATATAAAAATGCATGGATTGGAGAAAATGAAACATTGATGTTGGTAGTACAATTTACAGATCAAAGAACACTTATAGATAGTATTTTTCTGTTGCTTTTCTTAATTTTTGGTGGGTGGGTGGAGTTGTTATCGAGGTAATAGAGATAGATATAGAGAGAGAGATAGACATATCAATGCGGTGTGTGTAGGTCTTACTTAATTTGTGTGTATTTTTGTGAATATGAATTAATCAATCAACCAATCAATCATCAATCAATTAAACCAACCAACGCAGCAACCATTACGACAAAGTCAAAGTAATTCTGTTTTTGTTTTTGGTAATATAAATTATTGAAATGTACTTACATGGCTTGCAAAATATTTTAAACACAACTCACGACTCTTCTCTCAATAATTATTATCGTAATTGTGAATTCTGTCATTCAGTTTTACTTGCAAGGCAGTATGTATGTACTAGGAACATTATTTTGTTTTGGGGAATGGGGATTCTCAAATGGATTATATACGCATGGATGTGAGCGACTGAGAGAGATAGAGGAGGTAGGAGAGTAGTAGAAGGTACTTGCTTAGACTACATAATTACTTGCATAAGTACGACTAAGTAATATTATAATGGAGTTGTTTGGCTTTTACTTATCTTTTTGCATTTCACATTTCATTTTGCGGGATGTGATATTCGGGGCAAGGGGGAGTGATTAGGTTGGGAATTCGTGGGAAAAGATTAACTTGTTGTTGTACAAAAAACATACATACTGTATAACACTGTTCGGGGCCCTGCGCAACACTTTTTCAACTCTCTTGAATATCAACACTGAACTTCTGCTTTCTGTACTGCAATTGGTAATGGTAACTTTAACACATTTTATTTCATTTTTAAAAAGCTTTCAATACTTTCTCAGAATTATCAGAATGAAATGATGTAAGACCTATTAGTTTAAACAGTTCAAATCACTTGTCTCAATGTTAGCTATGCAAAGTGTGTTCGAAAAGTAAACGAACAAGTCTGAAGCTGCAGAGTTGGAAAGCGTATGCAAATTGCTATGATAAGCTAGATGTGACTAGAAAATTAATATAAGTTCAAGGAGGAAAAACAAAAAAAGAAAGTTAGCTAGGAAGACGAGCTAAAGCACTTTTTGATTTTATAACATTAAAACATTTTGTATAATTTCGAACACCTTGCTATTTCTCTTTTTACTGAGACTTGAAGAAATGATTTCAACTGAAGTGAATCAAATTTAGTTGTGTCAGTATTGGGAGTGGTTAGCCTCTTATTAGTTAATTTTGGTGGGTCAGTCTCAATAATTTGATTCTTTAGTTCTTAAAAAATGACCCACAAATAGCTCGGCATAAATCCTTTTTTAACAGGTGATAGGCATGATCTGCAAAAGGTGATGCAATGATGAAGGCGAAAGCTTTAAACTAAACCATATTTATATATATTTATATGTATTAACCCACTCAAAAATGCTGTCGTTGGCTTTTTGGCACCACCCTGGGTCACTAGATCGGTTTTTTTTATCTATAGTTTGTTGGTCTTTTACAGATTGAGATTCTCAGCACTTGGGATTCGATTTTGTTGTTAAGTCAAGTTCATTCTTTCGTTTGGTTGTTTAGCGATGCATATGCAGCATCGCGGGACTAGAGACTTACCATGCCAACGGCTGCGGCCGCCGCAGCCGCTGCAGCAGCGCCCGGATTCGCCGGCTGCTGTCGTGCAGCCTGAAAGCGTTGGAGCATCACAGCCCGATTCAGTTCCTCCAGTTGCTTGACCTGCTGCTGTTGCACCACCTGCTGTTGCTGCTGCGCCGCCTGCTGTTGCACTGCTTGCTGTTGCTGCTGCGCCGCCTGCTGATGCTGCTGCACTGCGTGTGCCACCTGAGCAGCCTGCACCTGAGCTTGGACCACGGCCTGAGCTTGGGCCTGCGCCTGGGCTTGAGCCTGAGCCTGGGCTTGGGCCTGGGCCTGAGCCTGAGCCTGAGCCACTTGTGCGTGAGCTTGCGCCTGGGCTTGAGCCTGTGCCTGTGCCACGGCCACCAGAGCGGCGGTCTGTAAGTAAACGTTGGGAATCGGTTCAATTTATCTCACCAGTGAAAGGGGGAGTATTAAGTTCACAGAAACCCTCAATAGTTTACGGACATTTAAGAAAATAAAATACAAATTTAGGAACGGAATGGGCTAACTATAGCAACTTTATCTAGACCCTATAGACTCTTCTATTAAAGAAAAAACTAAAACTAAAAGAAATTTATTTAATTCCAAACATAGAAAAAATGCAAATTGTTGATATTTTTAAAATATAATTGACTGGCCTACAGAAATGATAATTTAATAAGGTAATTTTATTAAATTATTGTCCATAAAATATTCAATTATACCAATTTCAGTTTAGCCATTATATTACTTCCTTTCCTTCCGGTTTAAATATACACGGGAAAGGGAGGGTCGGGCATCTGAGTTGCACACACACATCCCTTAATCTCTCTTCAATTTGCCTAATTTATTTAAGGTTTCCTGTTTTAAATCAAAGTAACTTAAGTGGTTAAATTGAAAACCGCCGTTTCGTTTGTTTTGTTGCCATTAATTTCTTTGTTTAATTAAAAAATTGTACAGACATATATCATCATCACTATATGCTAAAAAAATGTATTTCTTTTACGTTCTTTTTTATCGGGTCTGTTTCTTGTCTGTAACTCTTGTATCCGTTCGCTTGCGTACGCTGCGCTCCCGTCTCGTATGAACGTAATTTTAGCGTCATTCGCTCTTAACGCGAAATGTGCAAAAATAAGCGTATTGGTAATAAAATCGGTATCGGTACAAAATTGTCCAGCTTGGATAAATGGAATTATCTTTGAAAGCAAAATGCCAACGAATTTCCAATATATTTAAGTCAAATAAAAGTAAGTTACATTTATTTTTTTGTTTTTTTTTTCGGAAATTGTCTTTTATACAAGTCCGCGTTCAGTCCGTCCGTTTTTGCGTTCTTTTCTTATGCTTGTTATGCGTCCTTTTTATGTCCCGGTGTGCTCATTTATATTGACTATGATTTCTATAACTATGATAAGAACTCACTTCCTGGGCCTTCGAGATGGCTGTGGAGACGGCAAGCGCGTTAGCGGCCGCCAAGCCGCTGCTACTGCCCGTGGGCGATATCCCCGCCAGCGATGGTGGCGGCGGGGTGCTAGGCATCGACGATGAGGCGGCGGCACCATTGTTGCTGGGACTCTGGCTCTTTTGCGGATTCGCGAGGGCAGCCATAGCGGCTGCCAATCGCGCTTGGTACTTGGGCTGCCTGGCTCTCAGCTCTTCCAGGCTAGCGTCCTCAGGCGGATGCATGATCTTGGTAGTGACAGCAGCCGCCGGTCCACTACCAGCAGCTGGTTGAACTGGCGGGCGCTGCTGCTGCTGAGCATCTGGCGGTCCACTTGGTGGTGCACTGGATGTGCCACCAGCATGATTGGTGGTGGGCGGAGCACTTATGGTTGCATTACTTTATTAAAAACGTAAAAATTTTAATATTAGTATGAAGTAGAAGAAAGAGCTTTAAATTAGGTTCCATTTCTACAAGGAACTTGTTTGCCAGACTGCATTTTAGGGAAACGACACATTCAATTATGCCCCCTAATCAGCGATACCCACCTGTAAGCTGGAAATGTTGGCTTTTGTTGGGCCATAGCGGCGGCATGGTGGTGGTGATGCGCCGCCGCCGCTGCTGCTGCTGCCGAGGTAGTGGCCATTGCCGCAGGAAATAGAGGACGAGGCGGCATCATGTGCGGCATCATGGGCATCGGGTATGGAGGAAGCGGAGGCATATGTTGCATCATTCCCATGCCATACTGGCCCAGCATGTGTGGCGGCATCATATTTGGCGGCATCATCATTGGCGGTGGCACGCTCATGGGATCTACAATAAAAGGAGAGACTTATGGGGACTTCTCCTAGTACAATTAGGAAAGCGACCACTTACATTCTACTTTTTTCTTGGCCACCGGCTCGTCATCGTCCGAGTCCGACTTGCCGCCGTTCTTTTGTCGCTCGTGATCCCTGATGTCCTCTGCAGGTATTCCGTCCATGCCGAAGATCTCAATCTCAATGTTTGAGCGATTTGGCAGCGAGTTGGGTACCTTGTCGACCGTCTCCTTGTGTACCTGCATACAGTGAATCGAGAGGCCAGGGCCGGTGTACAGCTTTTTGTGGCAGATGTGGCACTTGAAGTGCTTGGCCTTTTGGTGCTGCACCAGGATCTTCTCGTCATCGAACTCACGGTTGCAGTACCTAGATTTTTCACTGGGAGTTAAGGAAAATGCCAATCTGTGTACCCCCTGCTCCAGAGCCCCTGCCCACAATACCATTATATAAATGAGCGTGTATGTGTAGATACAAATTTTTTCGCTCGCCCTCCCAGCCAGCGGCGCACATGCCGTGGACAACGCACTTTTGCAGTTTGTTTTTGAAAAGGATACCAGCACCAGGGCTTTGAGGCCTTCTTCTTCTTGCGTCCCATGACTCCAAGTTTGTTTTAAAACACTTAAATTTATAGAAACGCTCGGTCAATTGGTAGAAAATTACAAGTTGGTGCAGCGAAAAACTATTCTGCCGTGGAAAACAAAATGGAGAGCCAATCAGAGTGACCGTTGTCGCACTCGGACGGTAATACAAGAATTAGCGCTGGGCCACCAGGTGGCGTCTTTGCGTGTTCCTCCACTGCGGACAAATTTCACAAATATTCTCCTTTCTTTTTGTTAGCTTAAATTAAACAATTTTTTGGAAAATAAAATCGTTATGGAACTGTCAGAGCAGATGCTTTAAAATAACAAATGAATTATGGTACTCCAAATGTATTTGGCTGATTAATAAATGTCGGTATTTTCTCAAATTAAATGTAAGGTTATTGGGCGCTCCAGCTGTGGTCACTCTAATCCGGCCGGCGTTTACTAAAAAACAGACAAATGGCAGATAAAAAGGTAAAATTTGTAAAATAATAGTCTTTTAGCATTTCACCACCATGTACGTCGCCTTCCAGGTGGGGGGCAACAACGACGGCAAGGAGAAGCGGCGGAAGGAGTCGATTTTGGATCTGTCCAAGTATCTGGAGAAACAGATTCGCGTGAAATTCGCGGGCGGCCGCGAGGCTTCTGGAATTCTCAAGGGCTACGATGCTCTGCTCAATTTGGTGATGGACAACACGGTGGAGTATCTGCGGGACTCCGACGAGCCATACAAGCTTACCGAGGACTCTACGAGAAGTCTGGGACTGGTTGTATGCCGTGGTACAGCGCTTGTTTTGATATGTCCACAGGATGGAGTCGAGAGCATTGCCAATCCGTTCATAACGCAGTAAATGGCGATATGCCGAGACAAGGTCGGTGCTTAGAATAAGGTTCAAACGCTTATGGAAATCGGAAATTTAAATATATATATTAAGCGGACACAAATGCATATAAATTATTACTTAAATTTAGCCTACACTAGACCGCATAGTCCAATCCGGGCTATCTAACTACCTCAGTCCAGTCCGAACTCGTTGCGAATCCATGGATACTGAGCCGGACACTCCATACACGTGTAAAAGTATCGATCTTCCTGCAACACCCGACTTCGAACTTTGCACACATTGGGCAAACTACAGACCCGCTCGTGGGGATCCAAGTCCTTGGGCTGGCAGTGCCACGGCTCGAACTGATGCAACTGGTTGCTGGGCGTGGGATGTCGCATCCACTGAATGGCCTGCTGGTTGGTCACAAAGTACACGTCCGGCAGCTTTTGCAAGTCATCGAGGAATTTCTAAAACAAACAATCGACACTTAACAGCGTGTTTTCGGATAACTCGCAAAACTTACCAAAAAAGCATTTAAATAATCGATTTTCTTAAACCAAGTGGAGTGGAAATACAGACCAAAGGGGCTCTATTGCTAAGATAGTGCCTCTTGAAGTTGTGCGTCAGCATCCTGTACACATCCTCGCCACTTAAATGCGGTGGACAGCTGTCCACCATTCCGCACATGTATTCACCCGCCTCCAGTTGGTTCATCACCAGTTCCCATATGCCTGGATAGCTCCTCGAGGGACAGTTCTGATTCACACCCGTGCAGCTGTGCGGCATCTTGTAGTCCAGCGTGTATGGCCACAGAGGAGGATTGGAATGAGGCGCCACCATGGATGCATCGTAAACAAATCCAAACTCTTTCATCATCAAAAACTGACGGTTCCAACCGACGCGTAGGAATGGAACACGCATTCCTCGGATCTCCTCCATGCGAACGGCGGCAAATTTATTGATGATGTTGGCCTGACCAACCATCTCATCGAACCAGTCTTCAATTGTTGCATTCTTAGACCACCACATCTCAGGGCCACGATGTCTAAAGGCATATGTAAACTATAAATATGCCAGTAACCAGAGCTTAGAAGGGCCGAACTTACGTGACTGAGTGAACTGCGATCTCGTGGCCGTCATTCCACAGCTTCTGCACATACTGATAGTTGGTAAATGGATGCGATACATAGAATGTTCCCTTAATGGGACACCATTCGGATTTCTTCGATTCTGGGTGAACAGAACCTTGGAGAATAACTCCCAATTGTCATGGTTAATGGCATCGTCAAAGGTTAACAATATCATCTGTGGAACATTCTGCGATGGAAGATTTCCCGGTATCTGGGTGCCGTCCTTCGAGCAAAAGCAGTGAGGCAGCTGACAGTTCCTAGGATCACACGCACCCGCTGCATTCGGATCATGTTCCACATCACACCAACCCTCATCGGAGCCATCAGGACAGTCCACGGATCCATCGCAGAAATACTCTTGCGGCAAACATGTGCCATCAGCACATCCTAATTGATACTCATCCGCACAGTCGGCCATCTCCAGGAGGGCTTGGGTGCCGGCGTCTCAGCACTCACATCACAATTGTCCACGTTCGCCTTGAAGTCACAGATCTGACGCACAACATCGAACAGCAACCCCTCGGAGCACTTAAACTCGAACACTTCGCCGTCGAGGCAAAGGAAATACTTGGCGCACTCACTGTTGGTCCAGATCTTGTGAACCGGCCGATTCGGATTGCGGTAGAAGCGTGCATCTTGCATGCAACTTGCCGCTGCAGGGGCTGCAGCTCCGGTGGTCGAGCGACGGTGGCGGGCGTTGGTGTAGTTGCTGCTGCTGCTGATTATTCCATCATTGTCTGCAAAGCAGGCACACATAAACTAGGTGTGAGAGAGCCGTGTGTAATTAACAAGGAGACTAATTAATGCGTTGACCCAAAAAGAAACTGCTCACGTCAACCCAAAATTAGCCATTGACTGTCGGTTGCAGCAATATCATTTTTTTCTTCCATTTTTTAGCTGGATAGCAATCACGCATTCGAACTGAAGGCAGCGGCGTTGTAAGACAGGGGAGTAAGCGAAAAGCCCACGTCTGCCACTTGACTTGAATTAAAGAGTCGGCGGAATGTACCGGAAAAAATAACATTTCAAGGAAATTTATATAATTTTCAAATACGTGGTGACCTTTTAATAATAGCCATATTTTATCTTAAATTGTCTTTATTATTTTATGCCAACTTTGGATGATGAATTGGCTTAAGTCTAGTCACGAAAGGTTACCAACAAACAATTTAGTTTATTGTTTTTAACCATGAAGAACGGTTTAGTAAATATTTGAATTATGTCGCAATTAATTAACTAATCAAAATCTAATATGACAAATAATTATAAAATCCTTCTAGAGTTTAATTCATCGCCAATTTGCCGAATCCTCCCCTTGCTCCACCCACTTTAATGGACGCCCCCAGCCATGTGTGCCACATTGCGGCGGATAAATTGAGTGCGTTTGCATCATAGATCGGCAGCAATGGCCCGTAGCCGATCCATGCCGTGCCGCACCAGATCGTAACTCTGGCTGGCGGTTGTTGGGCAAGAAACGCATGTGTTGTTGGCCAAATGCAAGATGCGATCTCAAGATATGGCTATAACAGATAGAGTCCGACTGCTAGTGTCTGCTTGTATGTACCTCGATCCGTATCTGTGTCTATCGAAGAGTTGCAGCATTTAGAAAGTAAATTTATCATCTTGCTGCTGGGGCCAAGGCGGCGGGGTCAGGAAAAATTTCAGCAACTGTCACGCCGGGGTTGGGTTCAATGCACACACACACACACACACACTCTTTTTTTCGGGGGTGAGGCGGGACGGCGGACACTGAACGGTGGACGCAACCCGACTTGGCCCCACTTGGCTCCCCCGTTTTAGTTGTTATATAACAGATCGACAACTTTCACACCCAATGCGCGCGCATGCGCCAAAATAAAAGCAAGACACGCACCCAATCAAAAGAGCCAGCTGTGCCCAGCTGCTCCGGTGTTCGTGTTCGTTCGGTTCGGTGACAAACAAAAGTGGAGAAATTACCAATGAGCCTGGCATCCAGCGAAGACGACATAATAATAACCATCATTAGGATGGACACGCCGAGCACCGATTTTCGCACTGATAACGGTCGTCGCTGGGCGGAAACGTCGACCTTGACTGTGAAACCAGTTTGGCCATTTGCATTAACATTTTCCCCCGGGCATAGCATTTTTCTGCTTGATTTCCAGTTTGCGTGCGTCCAATATTTGTATCTGTTCCACACACAGTTTATATATTTTGTTTTTGTGTGCTTGGTGGAAAAACTAAGTCTGCGCAGCTGCGCCTCGTCGGAAAAAACGCGATCGGAACACCGTAACCGCAACCGCACAGAGCCTAAGCCGAATTGAGACTGAGGTCTGACGAGATGCAGCAGAGGCATTATATATTTGGGCATTTCTCTTTCAAGAGAAAGCTTTTCGCAGTGGGTGCAATACTTTTGAATAGAGAGCAAGACAGTATTAAATAGTAGTTAGTGGTTATTCGTTTAGAAATTAAGGGGGAAATTAGAAACAGAATGATTCGTGGATCGGGAGATCTATAGAATCTGTTGTTGATAGAATACAAAAATTTATTAAAATTTTAAAATATGTTCAATAAAATAAGTTCTTTAGTATAGCTAGGAGTACGATTATGATCTAGCATTTTGATTATTTCAATTCGCCAGATCAAGAAATTTTTAACAACAGGAATTGTCTGCAGACGAGAAAAAATCAAATTTCCTCTAATGTTCCGTCAACGGAAATTTGAATTTGAATTTTTAATCGATTTCAGTGGGACCAGCTACCATGATGGGAAAAATCGATATATCGCATACCTATACATCGATGTATCGATGCAGCGCTACATAGCGTCCTCTTTCGGTTGGCGCCTGAATGTTAAGCGAAATTTTAAAGGATTTAACGTTTATTCGCTTGTTTGTGTGTAAAAAGCATTATGCAGAGGGCTCGTGCCAGCTTGGGTACGCCTAAGAGCTCCGGCGGCGGACGTCAAAGTGGCCAGTTCCGGGTGCCACAGCTCACGGTCCAGCAGCACCTGAAGGCCCAGCAACAACAGGCATCGGAAGACGCGGACATAGACGCCCTGGATGATGCACTTATCTTCGACGATGAGGAGGGTGGAACACGCATCGGCGATATATACATCCCGCCTCCAATACCGCCGCACTGCTCCATGGAGAGCACGGGCCCGCGGTTAATCATTAAGAAGATTGTGAACCGAAACTTCAAGAGCTATGCGGGGGAAGTGGAGCTGGGACCGTTCCACCAGAGCTTCACCGCCATCATTGGACCCAATGGAAGTGGCAAGAGTAACGTCATCGACTCCATGATGTTTGTCTTCGGCTGCAGAGCGAATCGCATTCGCTGCAAGAAGGTTTCCACCTTGATTCACTCGTCCTCCCGATTTCCCAATTTGCGAAGCTGCTCCGTGGCCGTGCACTTCGAGCAGATCGTTGACAAGGGCGACGGATCGTGCGAGTCTGTCCCAGACTCTGCCATCGTCATCGAACGTACGGCCATGTCTGATAGCTCCTCCTATTACCAAATCAACGATAAACGTGCCCAGCTGAGGGATGTGGCCAAGCTGCTCAAGAAGCACCATGTAGATCTGGAGCACAACCGATTCCTGATTCTCCAGGGCGAGGTGGAGTCCATTGCCATGATGAAGCCAAAAGGACAGGCGGAGAACGAAACCGGTATGCTGGAGTACCTCGAGGATATTGTCGGCACACAGCGCTATATCCGCCCGTTGCAACAGATCAATCAAAGGGTCGATCAGCTAACAGATGACCGCACGGAAAAGCACAATCGTTGCAAGCTGGCTGAGCGCGAGATGAAGGATCTGGAGCAGCCGTACAATGAGGCTGTCGATTACCTGAAAAAGGAGAACGAGGAGGTCCGCGTTAACTCGTGCATCATTCAAAAGCAAATCAGCATGAGGAAGGCAACGCTGGAACAGTACACGAAGCAGCACCAGTCCTGTGAGGAGGAACTCAAGGCCCATGACGATAGCATCGAGGCCTTAAAGAAGGACCGGACCGAGAAGGAGAATGTCATCAGGAAGGAGATTGAGTAAGTCCCAACCTAAGCAGTTCTCCTGCCATAATATCTAATGCAATCTTCCAATTCTTTAAGGGCCTACGAAACGCTGGTTAAGAAGCGCGAACAAATAAAGAAAAGGCTGGTGACTGCCGAGAGAGCTCACACCGAAATCCAGAGCACCATGGAGAACACCAACAAGCAGCGGAAAAAGGACAAGGCGCAGATCGAGAAGAACGAAAAGGAGTTGGAGGATCTGCACAAGCTGCCGGAGAAGAATCAGCGCGAGATTGAGGATTGCAATAAGAAACTAGAGCGTCTGGAGAAGGAGAAGGTAACGCTGAATGAAGAGCTGGAAAAGCAGCTGGGCATGCTAAAGGAAAAGTCGGAGCCCCTAACCGAAAAACGCCTGAAGCTCAGTGACGAACTGGTCGGCCTTAAGGAGAAAGTAAACGCGGCCAAGGCGGAGCTGCAGGTATTCGAGTCCCAGCTTAAAATCCTCAAGCAGGCAGAGACTACCGAGACTAGGAAATATCAAACCCTAAAGGACTCTTATGAGCAGTCGCAGAAGAGTCTCGAGGAGAAGCTAACAAGGGTAGATGAGCTGAAGGAGAACATTCCACGTATGCAGACGGAAATAGCAACAAAGACAGCAGAAGTGGAAAAAATGGTGCATGAAGAGCGAAATCTGACCGTAAAATGTAATAGACTTCGAACAGAGGTAATGTGTTGCGGGTGAAATAAAAGATAATTATTTAAATTATTTTAAAACCTATTTGCAGATCAATGAAAGATCCAGCAACATGCAGGCTCAGCGTTCCAACGACAAAGTTCTCGACTTTCTCATGCAACAAAAGATGGATGGAAAGATCCCTGGCATTCTGGGCCGCCTTGGCAACTTGGGCGGCATTGATGCCAAGTACGATGTGGCCATTTCCACCGCCTGTGGTCGCTTGGACAATATTGTTACTGACAACTATGATACTGCAGCGGCGGCCATTGCTGCCCTGAAGAAGTACAACGTGGGCAGAGCCACCTTCATCACACTAGACAAGGTGGAGCACCTCCGTCGCGATGCCACCTCTAGAATCAATACGTAGGTTTTTAAAAGAATTCAAACCTTCACTTGGTTTTCTTATCATTCCTTTGTTTTTAGGCCCGAGAACGTGGCTAGATTGTATGATCTTATTCAGGTCGAAGACGATCGTGTGAGGACCGCCTTCTTTTTCGCTCTAAGGAATACGCTGGTGAGTGACGATTTGGAGCAGGGCACTCGGATAGCTTACGGCAAGACCCGATACCGAGTGGTGACTCTGCGCGGTGAAATGATCGAGACGACGGGCACCATGTCCGGTGGTGGAAATCGTCCGATTCGAGGCAAAATGGGAACACAGGTGCGCACCAAGACGGCGGAATCGGCGGACAGCTCTCAGGTATCGCAGAAGGCGCTGGAAGATATGCAGGTGCAGGCAGAGGAACTGCAGACGCGGATTAACTACTGCCAGGAGCAGCAGGGTCGATTGGAACGGGAGGTTCACACTCTGAAGATGAATCACCAGCGTGACGAGGCAGAGTGCAAGCGGCTGGCAGTGAGCATCACATCCTTGGAGCAGCAGATGGCTAGTAATTTAAAGCAATGCGAGGCGCAGCGCCAGCGGATGCTAAAAAAGACCACCGATGAGGGGGCAGTCAAGGAACGAGAGGAGCAGATCGAAGGTGCCAAGCAGGAACTTGAACAGGCCCAATTTGCTGAGCAGGCTGTCTCCAGCCAAATCGAGGAGATCCAGGCCCAGTACGATGCCCTACGAAACGACAACGTCAAGCCCGTGGAGGCAAAAATAAAAAAGGTGGGCAGCCAAATAGAGAAGCTAGCCGCTAATGTGCGATCAATGAATGTCGCCCTGGCGACAGCCGATCGCAACATTAAGAAGATTACTGAAAACAATGCCAATCTTCGGGAGAACATCAAAGCGGCGGAAGAGAAATTAACATCGCTGAACGAGGATCGCAAGAAATGCCAAGAGAAGGAGGAGGAGCTCGAGAAAGAAGTAAAAGAGGCGGAAGAAGCCATTGGCAGTGCTAAATCCCAATCGTCTGACATTAAAAAACAAATTGATGAGTTGACAAAGCAGGAAAGCAAACTCAATATCGAGCGCATCGAACTGGTCAACAAGCTACAGGCAGCGACAGGTAAACTCAACGCCGTGAAGGCTGATATTCCCATATTGCAGGCCAAGCTAAAGCCACTAAAGCTCAACGAGATACCAGGAGAAACGGAACCCCAAGAGCCACTAAAAGAATACACCGAAGAAGAACTTGAGGCAGTCGATCTCGATCAGAAGGAATTTGAGCATACAAAACTTTTGGAAGAGCTCAGAAAGAAGCCAAATTTGGGCTGCATCAAGGATTTCAACGAGAAGCGCAACATCTACCTGGAACGTGTGCGTGTCTTGGAAGATATCACCTCAAAGCGAAACGAGATGCGAGACAAGTACGAGGAGGTGCGGAAGCGTCGCTACAAGGAGTTCATGGATGGATTCAGCATCATCACAAGGAAACTCAAGGAAATGTACCAAATGATCACCTTGGGCGGCGATGCCGAGCTGGAGCTTGTAGACTCTATGGATCCATTTACCGAGGGCGTCAACTTCACGGTGCGACCACCCAAAAAGAGCTGGAAATATATCTCGAATCTCTCAGGCGGCGAGAAGACCCTTTCGTCACTGGCTTTAGTGTTTGCTCTTCATTATTACAAGCCTTCGCCGCTCTACTTTATGGACGAAATCGATGCGGCGCTGGACTTTAAGAATGTGTCCATTGTGGGTCACTACATCAAGGTGAGTGAATCGATCGAATAATCCTTTCTCAGATTACCAATTCATTTAATTCCCTTTTAGGAGCGTACCAAAACGCCCAGTTCATTATTGTGTCGCTGCGTGTGAATATGTTCGAGTTGGCCAACTATCTCGTTGGCATCTACAAGGTGAACGACTGCACTGATTCCTGCACGCTGCTAAATCATCCGCCTCAGCTGCCCAGCGGCACTCAGCATTCAAGAATGCTAAGTACAACCAATTCGCAGGACTCGTTAATAATGCCCGAGAACGATGAGAACCAATTGCCGGAGAGTCAGCCGAGGCCGTCGCAGCCACTGTCACAGTCGTCCCAGCCGATTCCCGGTAGGGAGACCACCTTTGCCCCGCCCTTGGACAGCACGGGAATAAACGATACGCAAGCACCACCACGACCATCGCAGGAGCAGATACAGCAGGGTAGAGAGACGACATTTGCACCGCCCATGGAGAGCACGGCAATCGAGGCGACAGCCAAGACAAGCGAAGCGCCGAATATTTCTCTGCAAACCCCTCCTCCGAACTCGCCGCCTACGATTAATACTTAATTTTAAGACGCAAGGCCAAGCTTACAGTGTATTATCCTATTTGTAGTCTACACCGATCAAATTGAATTATTATGTATCAAATATCATTTAAATCATTAAACACTTTTCATATATACAAATTAAGCATATTTAACAGTTTATTTTTGATACTACGACATAAAACTAGACATAATCTTGGAGCAAATCCCCTCCAATGCCTCCGTTGTATTGTTTTTTATGGCCGTTATATCCTCGCCAGAATCGCAGGCTTTCGCTATTTGTGGATCAAGGGGCAAGGAACCCAGCAGTGGCACACCCATCTCAGCGCACATGGCAGCAGCTCCGCCTGTTTTGGCTGGAAAGATTTCCGAACTATTGCCACATTTCCACAGCGGAAGCTGCTCATATTCTCTATCACACCCACAATGGGAATCTTCTGCTTCTTGCAAAAATTGATCTCTTTGCGGACATCTAGGAGAGCCACCTCCTGCGGCGTTGTCACGAGAATAGCTCGCAAGGACTCCGGCTGATTGTCGTCTTTCATGTAGGAAATGACAGAAGATGCTCGTCCGAGGTGCCCGGTGGTGTGTCCAGCAGCAATAGATCCAGGTTTCCCCAGTCCACCTCGCTGAGGAACTGCCGAATCATGCCATTCTTCTTTGGTCCCCGCCAAATGATGGCATCGTCTACGGAGCCTAGCAGGAAGCCGATAGACATAAGGCACACGTTGTCATCAATGCCGACAGGCGACCATCCGGATCCAGATTGATGCACGTTCTCTCCCAAAGCGCCCAGTATCCGAGGCTGCGATGGACCACAGATATCGACGTCAAGGACGCCGAAATTGCTGTCCGGACAACTCCTAGCCAGATAGCGTGTCAGCAGGCTGGTAACAGTGCTCTTGCCCACGCCTCCCTTCCCGGAGAGGATCAGCAGCTTGTTCTTTACATCTCTGAGTGCTTCGGCCACCAAAGCCTTCCCTGGATCTTCGAGTTTCTTGCTGGGATCGCTGCAGATGCTCTGATTGGGGCAACCGGCGCAGGCGCTCACTTTGCCTGCCTGCTCGCTTTCAACGCCAGGACATGTTCAGGTGGTGCCTCCATTTCTTTTAATTATTAATTCTTTGATAAATTACTTGTGAAATTGGGATCGGTGATAAGACTTTCGAGTCTCTGGCCAGACCTCAATTATGTTGGTATTTAATATATTTTAGTATTTCTTTTTTACCGGCATACAGCCACACTCGCCCTAACTATTGCTTGTCATTGCATTCGGCAATTTGGAAACAACTTTGAATTTTTCGGTAGAGCAGAAAGTATACATTTAAAAGCAACATGGAAACGCTCCTAGGTATCAAGGGTCCTGATTTCGTTATGCTGGCGGCCGACACCACCCACGCCCGCTCCATTATCGTAATGAAGGAAGGTAAGCAGTTGGACTCACATATAATGGCGGCTCCAGATCTCACTTTTGTGGCATTATTTGTAATGCTTTACAGATGAAAACAAAATCCACAAGGTGTCGGATAACTTGATTATTTCGACCACTGGCGAGTCTGGCGACACGGAACAGTTTACCGAATTCATTTCCAAGAATATTGCCCTCTACAAGATGCGCAATGGATACGATCTGAGCCCTCGTGCAGCAGCCCATTTCACGCGCAAGAATCTGGCCGAATACCTTCGCAGTCGCACGCCCTACCAGGTCTTCATGTTTGTGGCCGGGTAAGGATCCAGTCTTGCAACCATCCTCCATCAAATCTAGCTCTTTTCTTATTCAGTTACGATCCAGCCGATGGACCTGAGCTCGCCTTCATTGATTATTTAGCCAACGCAAAGTCCGTCAACTACGCCGGTCATGGCTATGGTGCGATCTTCGCATCCAGCATTTACGACCGCTACTGGCACCCCAACATCACCCAGGAGGAGGCTTATGATGTGTTCAAGAAGTGCATCGTGGAGATCCAGAAGCGTCTGGTTGTTAACCTAAAGAACTTTAATGTCGCCGTGGTGGATAAGGATGGTGTGCGATACCTGGACCCGATCAGTGCCAAGAGTCTGGCCGAATATAATGCATCCGCTTAGTTAGGTTCTTGAGCATTCTAAATGCACGACAGTTTGTAATAAATGGCGCCTGATTTGGGCAACTTTGGTACGAAATATGTACATGATATATTTATTTGGAGGAGGATTTATCAAAACCAAATAATAAATGCAAAACAAAAATTAAAAGCATAATTTTTGGATGCCTACCAATTTCCCTATGTCCGTCAAATTAGCGTCGAAATGGAACGGTGGGAAAATAGAACATGGAGAGAATCTTTAATTTTAAATTTATTTCTTAATTAAGGCACTATTTCGAATTAAATCTGAATTCGATGTAACCGTCAGATTTTGAGAAATTCAAGTGTTTCGCTTTTCCGACCTCATTCATAAACTCTGGCTTCATATCGATAGGGGCGCCTCCCACACCCTATCGATGAATAGCCCGCCAGAAAATATTTCTATTAACCATTTAAACAATTGTATAAAATATGCATGCCCAATGAATGGAATTGACATTCCAAGTATTTTGGTAGATGTTTCATCAAAATCCGTTCAGCCGTTCAAAAGAAAACATTACTTTTTCATTTATTTCCATAAATGTTCCTTCGAAGAATAAATATATCTGGCACACTGCCTACCTAAAATTAAGTCAAGTTGATTTAAACTTTATTATAAAACTTATGCAAAATAAGATCGTACCATTAACGGGATCGCAGTTCTGAACATTTTGATCCATGTTTCAACAAAATCCGTTCAGTCGTTCATAAGAAATCCTGACTTTTTCATTTATTGCCATAAATGTATGTATGTATGTGTGTATGTTCGACGAAGAATATTAAAACTTAATGGTAGGACGCATGCATACAAAAGCAATAAAGGGCATCGCAGTTCTGAACATTTTAATTCATTACATACTAGTTAGAGTATATAGAAGACTAACTGCAAAGTTTTATTTAGAGAGCTTTAAATATAAGGGTCTTTTTTGCTTATAATTGGACAGAGAGACAAATGGACAGGCTAAATAGACTCGGCTATTGATGCTGATCAAGAATATATATACTTTATAGGATCGGAAATAATTTATTCACTGCGTTGCAAATTTTTGACCTGAAATCATATGACAAAGCAAGAGCATTGAAGCACTAGATTTGAGAAGACAATTTTTGAAATGACATTTAATAGTCCGCCCAATAAATGATATCGTTATTCTAAGCAATTTGGTAGGTGTTTCATCAAAATCCGTTCAGTAGTTTTGGAGAAATTAACATTTGAATTACTAATTTATGTATTAAGAAGGCATGACTATGCACCCCTGGTACCCAACTGCAATAAATGAAAATGTCGGATTTCTCATTAACGACTGAACGGATTTTGATGAAACATAGATCAAAATGTTCAGAACTGCGATGCCGTCTATGGGGCAGTCTTCATTTTGCATAGGTTTAGCCATAAAGTTTAAACCAAGTTTTCTTGTTTTTTGGTAGGCAGGGCTGCGGGACACATAAATGGAAATAAATGAAAAACTCGGGATTTCTTATGAGCGACTGAACAGATTTTGTTGAAACATGGATCAAAATGTTCAGAACTGAGATCCCGTTAATGGTACGATCTTCATTTTGCATAAGTTTTTTAATAAAGTTAAAATGAAATTGACTTAATTTTAGGCAGGCAGTGCTGCCAGATATATTTATTCTTCGAAGGAACATTTATGGAAATAAATGAAAAAGTGATTTTTCTCTTGAACGGCTGAACGGATTTGGATGAAACATATACCAAAATACTTGTTTTGTCAACATTGTTATTTTTTTTAATTTAGTGTGTTTAGTGGTTCTCTGCTGGCTCCATTTTCATAGTTCGCGCCTTAGTTACGCTAATTTGACGGACTTCTTTTCCCTAGCAAATGTTGTGTAGATTTCCAATTGGATTCTAAGCATTCAGTATTTTTTCCAACTTGGAATTTCTTTTTGTTTTGAATGCAGTCACACTAACAGTCGCTTTAGGATTTTACAAAATAAATATAATTTTAAGACAATATGAGCTTGGAACAACAACCGGTGGTAGATCCAAAAAATCCCCATGGGCTTGGTGAGTACTACGAAACAAAATTGATTCAAGTGACCGTCACACTGCACCTGCTTGCAGGGGATCCCAACGACACATCGTTGCGCAAGGTGGAACGGGAGGTTCTGATACCCAAGATCATGCGAGATCGGGCGAAGGAAGAGTTCTGCTCCAAAGAAGTGGCTGATTTCCAAGAGTGCTGCAAAGCTAGCAGTATCATGATGGTGGCCACCTGTCGAAAGCAGAACGCCGCTCTGAAGGAATGCCTCACTGGGTGGTACCAAAACGAGGCTTTTAAGGAGGAGTGCAAGAAGATATATCTGCAAGAGAGGGCCGATTATCGCAGTACAGGCATACCCAAGAAGCACCGCCTTGAGAAGTTGTAGTAAATCCTTAAAATAGTTCCTTATTGTTGTTGTTTGCTTTGTACAAAAGTTGAGTAATTGAAACGACGCACAATTGTTTCTGTGACAGTGATTTCCTCAAGGTGCTCGGGTCTGGATACATCGTCGGCTTGGGTAACTTTTAAGAGAAGCACATCCTTATCGGAAGTTTCGGCCACACGTTGGACTCCTTTCAGGTTCTTTGACTGATAGTAATCTACATCGCTGGGTGTTTGAACAATCACCAGAAAACTTGCATGGTATAAGCGTGGGCTCTGCTTGTAGATCACTAGGAAAATAAGTCAAATATTAGTTAATACTTATTGTAATAATGGCAAATACTTACAAAAATCTCCGCCAAACTTGATGCCACTCTTGATCACCCAGTTTTTGGACTTTAAATATAAATAACTGGCCAAGTTCTCCACAAATCGTTCATTTAGCTGCAGTGCTGCAGTCAAAAATGCTTGAAAATCCATAGCGCAACCGGATAGGTTTTCAATGTTTAAAACTTCCCAGTAGAAGGCCAGGAAACAGGACTCCTCAAGTCCCAAGAGCAGCGTTTCGTCCTCGTCTCCAGATGCCGGTCCTCCTCGGGACTTGCTACCCTTGCCAAAACAACCATTGTCATACAGAGATTGTGCTTGAACCGGATCCCGTATCTCCACAGAGAGTCCTGTGAACGTTCCCCGATAGCTATCACCGGTTTCGCAAATGGGCAAAGGAGAGAAATTGGAAGTTTTGTTGGGCCACCGCTTTCTTTTGCATAGGAACGTAAACATTTTTCGAGGTTGTCAAAAGTGTGCCCACAGTTGTGAAAAATATTACAAAAATATTAGTTTTGTGGTATTTTGAATTTGACCGCACCTGGTCTTTCTGGAAAAATGTAAACAAAACTTTCTGAGCTGTTGCATTTCTTGAATTTAATTAAAAACAATCGTTTTTGTAAACTAATTAAACTAATTAAAATAACAATGCCCAGGAGCTTGGGACACCGAGTGGCGCTAATAACTACATGAACAAATCCATGCTAATATCCTACCAGCCTAAATTTTATGTGTTACCAAAAAGGATTCCCATAAAAACGAATGGAATATACATAAATATATTCTTTAACATATTGAAGTATTCTATAATTATATCTTTTGTTTTAGGGAAATTACCTCGATCGCCTCCGTACAAGTGTACTCTTCGTTTAAAGGCATTCGTTCGGAGAACAGATCACCTGGGGAAGGGCTGTCCCACTGCCAGAAGAACTTTTCTAAACTGTGCAATCGTCCAGCTCACATCCGTAGCCATATACTAAAGATAAGGTCTTCCAATACCCGATGACGTGCGCACAAGCATCAAAATGTTAAATCTTATAGAATCGGTTACGCGAACTTAAGAATAGCAATAACCACAAAAAAATAGGTTTATATTCTTAAAATTAGCCTGTTGATTTGTATTTCAATTGAATGTGTTTATATATTTTTTAAGAGATGAGTTTAGTTATGTTTATATCGAAAATGTTTTGGTTTTATCACAGAGCAATTAGGAATGTATTGATGTTCTTCAAATTTGTTCTTTTCAGCAAACTTTTTTCTTAATATTATATTTGTACGATACTTTTCGGATGAAATTTAAATAACAAGAGCTGTTGAACTTATCAGTAAAGGCTAAAACTTTACTGATGTCATAATGTAAAGATGTAAGAAGTATAGCTGCAGTAATTGAAAAATTATTATCTACGTTAAATTGCCTTTAGCTAAATCATTAATTTTAAATAATAAAATTTGTTTGTATGTTCCGTTGGGTTTGGCTAGAGCAGCTTGGCTACTAATTTGTAGGGTCAGTCCGTTTTGACTAAAATTATAATACCCTGCAGAGGTACAATACCAAAAATATATTAAATGACTCATTATATTTAAAAAAAATCGAATACTTCCGAATTCAGCTTAAACTCATTCATATTTTTTGGCAAACCAACAACCGGTTGGTTTCCTGGTCTTTGCTTCGTTGATGATCTTATCTGCTTAGCCGCTTATCAACCAGTTATTATGGTGACAGTCTTGTCGTTTTTCTTATGTGGTTTATTTTGAGCACAAATTGGGTGATAAGTTAGATAGCCAACTGTAAGAATTGGCACGCACGGGATGGATGCGATACCCCAAAACAAAAAACTAGACAAAGTATATGTAAATGCAAACACAAGAGACATTAAGTTTTATGGTGGGAAATATTATGTCTAAGCCGACGCGCCTGATGAAATGTCACTAGTGTAGCTCGTTATCAGCGCGTAATCCCCATTCCTCATTCCATTCGGGGCGAGGCTTATCAAAATAGCGGTCTATATAACCGTGACCGATAATAAAACCACCGCCACGATAAACAAAAGGCTTTGTTATTATATATTTCTGTTTTTTTCTAATTATTAAAAGTGTAGCAGTTATATGGGTGAGGTGACCACGAAAGCACTTGCAATATATGATTTATACACAGTACACACGCACAAAGCTTATGAATCTCATCGGTAGATCTAGGGGATTGGGATATATATAGGTTTTTGGGTATGGGTTTGGGGTTATAACAATAATTTCGAAATCAACAACAGTCCTCGCTTGCAATCATCTTTCTGGGGGTTCTTGTCAACAAGGGATATTTTGGGATAACAATGGGTGGGCAGCAGCAGGTGGATCCTGGACTAGCTGGGCGCAGCCGGCTCGAACTTACAGATGACGGCAAACATGGCCTCGCCGCCCAGGTACTTGGCCAGCCACCTGTTCTTGATCACGGCCAGTTTGAGGGTCTCGCATCCGAAACGGGCATTCAGGTTCGTGTGCAGAGCCCTTCCCATGCCCTCGATCACGAGCAGATCAGTCTCATTGGCGGCGATGGCGTCGCACAGCTCCTGTGGCAGCGTGCGCATGTCCAGGCAGGGTCCCGTCTGACCATTGGCGTAGACCAGCAGCTGTCCCTTCGACCAGGCTTGGGCTAAGACCTCGCATTCTCGCGAACATTCGTCCAGCAGCGATCTCAATTCCTGGCTGGTGACATCGTTCAGCGCGGGTTCACTGTTGGCGCAGAGTAGCACCTTGGTACCTCTCTTAAGAAGTCCTCTCACAAAGGGCAGTACGCCTAAAACCACATCCACTCCACTGTTGTCCACAAACACCACGGCGCATTTGTGGGGCTGTCCCTTGAGGCGTTTCAACCAGTTGTCCAGGTTGTCCAGCAGCCAGGGACGTTTCTCGATGCGGTCCAACGCCGAATGCAGCCGAAATTACTGTCTTGCTCCAGGATATTAGATATGGCCTGGGCACCCCAGTCAAACATGTTTCCGGCCAGAACTCCGCGCACGAGTTCCGTCCACCTGGCGTCCTCATCCTCCAGAGCATCCAGCTCCTGCAATCGCTGCTTGAGCCGAACTACAGCCGAGGCATTCTCCAGTTTCTTTTGGCTGAGCCAAGGGTCTGGGAATCCAAATCGTCGCAGCATAGTCTCATTGAGTTGGAGCAGCTCGCTGGTGCCCAGGACCACCTTGCCACTGTTGATAGGTACGTTGCGCTTGTGCTCCTCAAGCTGCTGGAGATAGGCTGCCTGGAACTGCTCTGCCCGCTGCAGAGCCGTGTGATCCTCGGGCTGCGACTTGGCCGCCACCTTGGCAAACTTCTCCACCATGTCCCGAAAGCAGTTAAACCAGTAGTCCGCCGCTTGAGTGTCCGTGTTCAGGTCCAACGTGTCCGGCTGGTAGACAGCCGGATCCGGCAGCAGGCTGCGGCTGTGCATGGCGACGCGAATTGACGCGAAGCGAGTTAATTTAAGCGCAGAAATAGTCGCCGTTTTTGTTTTTGTGGTCAGTGTGGCCAGGGCGCGACCGTTAAAATAAGCCATCGTGTCGGGCTAGTCATTTCATTTTGTTTGATCACGTTATTTTTCAGGGATGGAAAACATAACAAAAGGCCCAGTATGTTGGAAATATTAAATATAAATATTGTAGCAAAATTATACAAATATATAAGTAGTGGCAAATTTTATCTCTCTCTAGCATATTAATTAATTTGTAATTTCTCTAGCATATGTAATTATTACAAAAGAAAAAGTAGCTGATTTCTTTTTTGGAAACATATGCAGGCGCGCCTGTTTGACAATTATATTACTATGAATTAAAAAATAGTCAATAATAATTACTAAATGAATTAGACAATGATTAATTTTTTTTTACTTTATACAATACTTTTTCTTAGAAATAATTTGTAAAAATAATAATAAATAAATAAATGAAACCAAAAATTGTAAGTGCTTCAATTCACTTTATTTGATCACGTTATTTTCTGTGATCGAAGATATGCCAAAAGGCCTAGTATTAAAAATTCCCAAAATATGTCAAAAATTCGGATTATAAACATTAATTTTTACCATTTTTAGCAAAATAATTAGAAATAAATAAATAGTGGAAAATTTCTATATTTTTCCTGCAAATATAATTTGTACAAATTTGGAAACAATTTATTAAGATAAAAATAAATTATACAATGATTGGAGATGTATATATATTTTTAATAAACATAATAATTTTCATTATAAATACTTTATGAAAAGATAAACAAATATTATAAAGGTACACTTCACTTTATGCACGTTATTTTTGGGGATCGAAAATGTGGTAAAATGCCATGTCAAAAATAATAAATATTATTATTTATTTAGCAAAATAATAAATATAAATAAATTTTGCAAATTTTCGTCTTTGTTGCATATGTAATCTTACTGCAGAAAAATGTCGCGACTGTGAATTTTAGGAAATGATATAGGGCGCGCCCGTCAAAATACTTTATTAAGAAAAACATTAAATTAACAATGGATAATTTTAGAGTTTTATTGAATACAATACTTTTCCTTATAAATAAATTATAAGAAACAAAACAAAATAATTTTATGGTATATTTTTGGTATTTTTGATATATGACAATGGTATAAAAAATATTTGTTGGGGCCGGACGGTCACACTCTGAACACGGCTCTTTCCGGTTGAGTTTTTTGACAAATCAACAACACAACAGAAAAATGGTAAAAATAATTCGAGAATTGCGGCGGAATCCGCTGTGAATATGATTAAATATCGACGCAGAAATCTTTGTTGGATTATTAATTACCAATGGAGGGACAAATTTCAAGCTTACAAGGGCTCCAGGAGTTATAAAATGGAAGATTAAGTGCAACTTGTAATGGTTGTTTTACCCTCTTTGTTGGCAGGCCAAGCGCACCAAGAAGGTTGGAATCGTCGGCAAGTATGGTACCCGTTATGGTGCCTCGCTCCGTAAGATGGTCAAGAAGATGGAAATCACGCAGCACAGCAAGTATACTTGCTCCTTCTGCGGCAAGGTGAGTGCATGGATTAGCTTCCAAAGAGGCGCTTAGTAATTTTGTGTTTCCCTCCCCCCTCTGTTTTAGGACTCCATGAAGCGCGCCGTTGTGGGCATCTGGTCCTGCAAGCGTTGCAAGCGCACTGTCGCCGGTGGTGCCTGGGTGTACTCTACCACTGCCGCCGCCTCCGTGCGCTCGGCCGTCCGTCGTCTCCGTGAAACCAAGGAGCAGTAAACAATGCAATGGACCGATCCAATCCAATGCTCCGTTATGCTAGTTTCCGTAGTTTTAAATTGACAACGCGATTTTCCTGTGGTTTGCGCCGTGCCGGTCATGTGAAAATAAAAAATGGTTTTTACTTTTATCGGTAACCAAAAGTGATATTTATTTGTGTGTGCTTGTGTTCTCTGTTTGGAGATCTAGATCTAGGCTTCACAGTGTTCCGATTAGACTGCGTTGGTAAACTAATTAGAATATTCAATTAAATTGAATTTAAGTAAAAACCCGCATTTGCAAATCTGAATCGTGTAATTACATGAAAATAATAGCGTGCAAATGGATCAGACATATCGTCCTAGTGTTAGCATATCTTAGTAATTATTTGCGCTAATAAAGTCAGATTATTTCATCTGATCGGATTTTATATATAGCCTCCGGTTTGCAACAAATCTTCTAACGTATAATTGAGCAGGTTTTTTTTTAAAGTATTAATATTTTTTAAAGTACTTGTATTTTTGCCAAGTGAAAAAACAGTTTCTGTTATTTAATGAACATAATTATAGAAAATATAATTCTTCCTTGCAGATTTAGTTTAAGATCGTTTTTTCGGTTTATAACCTGTAATGATAAGCTTCTTCTTGTGATTGATAATCGATATGGCATGTTTTTGATCTGAAAAAGATAGTTTAAGTAGGAGTACTAATTTCTGCAAATATTTATTGTATATTTTTGGAAGTATTTATAATTTTAAAGAAGACTATTATTATTATAGTCAATAGTTTGCAATGCAGTGAAAACTCATTTCCGACACTATAAATTGAATTAATTAAATTAAATTCCAATTGTTCTGGTTTGTTAATAGTATCCAAATTATCAAATTTAATTTGCCAAAATATTACTAAATATAATATTCAATGTGCAAGATTGGTTTTGGGACAAATTTAAGAGCAAGCTATTTAAATGAAACTATGGAGCCATTCTTCTATAAATTTTACTAGTATATAAATCGGAGCATCGCGAATCGGTGGACTATATATATACATATATATAGCTGACGTAGGAACGATGGGAATTTAAGGAAATAATTAGAACTTTTCCAGTTTTTAAATGGTTTTCATCGAATTTGATTCAAAGCTATACTTTAGTATTATAGGATATCGTTTTCAGTTTTATGAAAATCGGAATACTATATAATATAACTGTCAGGGAAACGGTTGTTAAATGTAGAGGATCAGAAAGCATCTTTGTCCAGTAAGTAACTCTGATCAGTAAGTATCAATAAACATTAAGTAACTATGACCAGGAAGTAACTATGACCAGTAATTAACTATGAGCAGCAAGTAACTATGAGCAGTGAGTAACTCTGAACAATAAGTATTTATGACCAGTAAGAAACTATGATTAGTAGGTATACATGATCAGTAAGTGTCTATGACCAGTAAGTATTTATGACCAGTAAGTATGTATGATCAGTTACTAACTTTGAACACTGATAAACAATGACTTGCAACTTTTGTAACACCACTTCTCTGAAACTTGGCCGGCAGCAGTCACTTCGTTCCAGGGATGTTAGAACCAATTGGGAATTATATGCACAGATGTGCGAGATTTGTTTTGAAACAAAGAGCAAGCTATTTTAATAAAACTACGGGGTTATTCTTCTATATAATTTTACTATTATATAAATCGAAGCATGGCGAATCGGTGGACTATATATATACATACATGTATATAACTACAATTGGAACGATCGGATAGTTTTAAGAAAAATAATTATAACTTTTCCAGTTTTCATCAAATTTGATATATAGCCATATATATTAATCTAGAATTTTGTGTAAAATTTAAAATCGGACTACTATATCAAATAGCTGCCATATAAACGATCGTTAAAATAGAGAAAAATGCAAAACTGTAAATATAAAATGTAAAGATGAATGAAATGAAAGCAGGAATTACTTCATTGCTTTATAAATAAATATAAATAATTTATATTGCATTAATTCATAGTGATCCTATTTCAATTTTAATTTCAATTCTTTCTTGTTATAATTTGTAATACGAAAGAGCATTATATAGCTGAATACTTACCCTTTACAAACCACCAACAATAGACCACTTTTATTAACGATTTTGTCTTAAATTTGTCATCTTTTTTTTTATTTATAAAATTTAAAAAGTCTCTAAACAAACAAATAATATTTAAATGAAAAATTCATAGAAAATGTTGGCTTACATTCAGTTGTTTTCATTTTGTAAAATCATTTCTATTATTCATTCGGTTTGTGTCTGAGAGAGTTTTACAATTGCGAAATGGGAGGAAACCTATATTTAGCTAAACATTTAAATCAACAATTTAAAACATAATGTGTAGGCAGCTATAATGTTGTATATGCGGGTATGCCTTATTAGTGGTTAAACACACACACTAGTTATAGGATTGTTATCATCGGAAAAGGAGGCCTTTGTCCTGCTTGATTTTGGATTCATATTTCCTGTTTCACGCCATGTTTAATGTTAATTAAAAATTGCACCGTCACCAGTTTAAAATAGTTACTTTTTTATCTTCCATATGTATATATCGTTTCTTTATAGCTATGGGTTGATTTCTTTTTTAAAAAATAAATTTTGCTAAAAACTTTTACTTGGCCTGTGTCCTAGGGTCTGTCTGTGCGGAATTCCGTTCGTAGTCAGGTTTATGCTTCATTCTTTTGATTGGAATTGTTTTCGAAATATTTACACAATAGCTGAGAGAGTAGAGTCCTTCGATTTTGAGCAATATTTAGTCGAGAGCTATTGTTTCTTGTTGTTGTTAATGAAAAACCTTGACTAAATCTAAATTTAATTTAGAACTTAGGGGTAAACTTAAAGCTAAATGCAATTTATAGTACAGTTTTTTGCTTGCTTCGCATATATATATATATATATATATATGTATATCATATACTACACATAAATATTTTATTTAAATGTATATTTTTAATAGCTACATTAATCGTATGTACACTTCTCTTGTTATTATTTTCTTTTCGGATGTATTTTATAAATATTTTTACACTGTATTTATGATATGCGTGCAATTTTTTAGATTTTTATAAATGTTTTCCTTTTTCTTGTATCCTTTGTGTATAATGATTATGATTTAGAAGCATTTTCGTGTAGTTTTCTTTAGTGATATGAGGGAGCGCATCGTTTTGGTACAAAGCAAAAACACAAATTTTTCTGATATTTGAAAGCCTAAAGTGGGGGGTAGAACAACCCATAAAGCGACTTAAATACAAAACGAAATCTAGCTAGGAATGTGGTGAGCTGCTGTTGGGGTTCTTGTTCATCAGTAGCTTAGATGCTCTTTTCTATGACACACGTGTGGCAATTTGCTTGGCCTGCTCATTTGCTGGGTTTTCAAAATTATATTCTGCGAAGCACAAAATGTCAGTTAAATGCCAATTTATTGGTACTTGGTCTCGAAGCTAAATGTAAATTACATTACAAATACATAGATGTATATAGATATACCTAGATAAATCGTACAATTGCCTGTCTATATAAACACATACATGTACATGTCCATCATGTACTTAGGATATATATATCTCACAAGCACACTCACAATAATTTTTTGTTTGTTTGGGAAGACATCCTGCCGCCGACGGAGTTAAATCTCCGGCAGCAAACACATTCACGCACACAGAGAGATAGGAGATAGTGGGAATAACTAAAAGACTAATTAAATGTCAAAAAACAAGAGCAAACATCATGGTCTAAACACAAAAAATGGAAGTTCTCAGTATGTATAAAGTTAGTAGGATCCGTTTTAGTTTAGTTGTAGTCATCGGTGCCATTTAGCTAGTGAGCCTGCCACTTGAATTTGGACTCCATCAGCCACTGCTGGCCCTTGCCGTAGCTGCAGGGACGCAGCAGCGGTGTATTGGCATCGTCCCTCGTGGCTCGCTGTAAGCACTGTCCGGTATTCGTGTGACGTATCCATTTTTCCTGTAAGAAAAACAAAACCAGAGTTAATGGTTCTTTTCAAGTCACAATCTGCGACTCACCTCCGCATCGTAGACCCACTCCTGATTGCCGCCCATGTTGTGGCAACGAACCATATTGACGGGACCATTGGAGCTGGATGCGTCCAGGCACAGATCATCGGACATGATCTGCTGTCTCTTGGTGTAGGCAAATACCTGGTTGCCACCCAAGCCATGGCAATAGCTAATGCCAACCTTCTCGTTGTACTTCCGGCCCATTGTGTCCAGGCAGGTTTCCGTTTCCGCATTTCGGATCTATTAGGAATAAATATCAGTAATGGTATGGAATTTTATTTATGAAATCTCCAAGCTTACCTCTCCCAGATAGTAATAATCCAAAGGCATTAAGCTCTCGGGATAAACATTCTCCAAATACCAGCGGAAGCTCTTGCACTTGAGGCGATCCCGGAGAGCCTTACGATCGCTAACATCGCCAGCCGAAGCTTTGCGAGCACCTAAAGTGGTGCCATTAAAGGCAGAAGGTGGGTAAAAAATAAATAATAATGATTAGTTAAGAATATTCGTAATTAAGTAAATAAAACATTTATGCGCTGGTGAGTGTATAGTGTTTTAAAATCTAGGTGTGTGTGTGGGTGTGTTAGAAAGGCAAATTTAAAATGCTTTGATGATGATAAATACAAAAGTCTTGGTGCGTGTGATGAAAGGTTTAAATATATTAATTATAGTTAGTACATAACACAAAGCATGCAAAAACATTTACCCAATGACTACTAACAAGCACTTTTAAAGTATTTAATTTAAAAGCAAAGCCAATTATATTATTTACAAGACATATAAACATTAAAACTCATATATAAGCTGACAGGGGGAACCACAGATATCACTAGGGATTTTAAATCACTAGATATTTAGTTGCTAAAATATATTAAGCTGGAGAAAAATTCTTTTTTAGATGTTTTTTGAAACTGTTTTCAAATCCATAGCGATTTCTGTGGCACCCTTGATTAAAGCTGTCAAATAGATGCAAATATAAATATATCCATTTTAGATTTATTTGTCAACTCTTCCCCTATTATGTTTAAGTAAAAATTAAGACGAAAATCTTATACCAAGTCAAAAAAAATTGTTTTTAATATTAGTTTGCAAGAGCCATTCCCTTTTTAAACTACA